GGTGAAGAGAGAGTCGAAGAGGTCTCCTACATGTTCCTCACATTTCCGGACGGGAAACTCCATTCCATCCTAGAATCCGCGAAAGATGCAGGTATGAGAAGCAAGAAGATTTTCTCCATCGACTGCTCCTCTTACTTTGCCCAGAAGAATGGGGACAATGCAGGACCTTCCACCAATTACGACGAAAAAAAGGGGAAAGAGTCCAAAAAAGAGTCAACTGACGAATTGCTGTTTCACATCACTACAAAAAAGATTAAGAAATTCCTGGAGGAAATTCAAGGGAATGAACCCATTTGTATTTCGAAACCTCCTCACCTCAGCAGAAAAGAGGAAGAGAAGGTCGAGGATGTGGAAGCAGGAATACAGTCCATGGATTCGGGTTAGTGACAAAGACCCACAATTCCCCTCTCTCTTCTATAGGTTGGACGGGAAAATTCGCCCTCTTTCCTTTCCTTGCAACGTGCGTACTAATTTAGTCGCCCTCCTCGACCATTTCATAGAATATAGCGCCATGCTTCCCAGATCGAAAAAATGAGAACATTACAAATATGATACTTTTTATTATTGTGCAATTTGATAATTGCATGTGCAATATGCTCGCAATACTATTAGGATATAAACGGGCGGGCCAGGGGCTCCAGGAGATGAATTACTAGTAATAATTATGTATCGTTGACATCGTAACTGTTACTCGTGGTCATTCGCATCTACAGGGTGTTCCGAAAGTTTCTGACCCACTAAAATGAAAATGGAGACGAAATGAAGGGAATATTTTGATCTAATTGAATTCCACATCATCAAGAATACCCTAGGTACCATCTCCTGCATCGATACTTGATATAACATTCGTGGATCTGCAGAAACCTTGGATAAGCGTCTTGAAATGTTCAAGAAATCGACAAATGACACTCGTCATATTGGCTTCTCTCTTCACTAAGAATCCCGGTAATGACTAATGCTCTCTTTATGAGGTGGAGCTGGCACAAAGCACTCTGCTCTGTGTCAGCCATACCTGTGCCATAGGTGTTCCAGGTGTTGAGGTCCGGACAGTTCCTTCGTAGCTTCTTCTAAACCTGTACCTCAGTGTCTTCGATGGCTCTTCTTCTTAAGTATTCTGCCTATTGGCAGGTCCTAGGCATCCATCTTCTCCATTCCAATCTGTTCTCCGTCTTTCTCTTCATTTTCACAAACGACCCTTCCTTCAGTTCCTCCAGCATGCCAATTAACATACTAAATTTCCTCATCATGTTAAGCCTGTAAGAGGATGCGTAAGATG